ATATATATATATATATATGGGCAAAAGACCTGAACACATATTTCACCAAGGAGAATAGTTCCCTCTTATCCATAGGGGATGCATTCTAATATCTCCAGTGGGTGCCTGAAAGCTTGCATAGTATCAAACCCTGCTTTTACTATACTTTTTCATATATACTTTTAATGAACATTAATTTATAAATCAGGCACAGTAAGAGATTGACAGCAATAACTAATAATAAATTATAGCAATCATATTATATTTAAGAATAGCCTGGGCACCAGGCGTGGTGGCACATGTCTGCAATCCCAGCACTTGGGAGGCTGAGGCAGAAGGATTGTTGAGTTCGAGAGCAGCCTGGGCTACAAAGTGAGCTCAAGGCCTGCCTGAACTGCATAGCAAGACCCTGTCTCAAAAAAAAAAAAAAGAATAGCCTGGGCAACACAGTAACTTAGTGAGAGCTTTCTCAAAATAAAAAATGAAAAGGCCTTGGAATGTAGCTCAGCAGGAAGGCCTTAGATGCAATCCCCACTAATATGTGTGTGTGTGTAAAATTTCTGAAATTTGTCCATTTAATACAGTCAGACCACAGTTAATGGTGGTAACTAAAACTTCAGAAATACAGACCATAGATAAGGAGGAGCTACTGTCTACAGGTGACAAATAAGCACACAAAACGTTTTCCACATCTCTATCCATCAGTGAAACAAAAATGAAAACCCGAACAGAATGGCACCAGCAAGTAGTGACAACATCAAATGATAGTCAGGATGCCAGGAAAACTGGATCACTCATATAGTTGGTGGGAACGTAAAATAGTATAGTAACTAGAAACAGTTTGGCAGTTCTTTATAAGATTAAATACGCAATCAATATTTGACTCAGCAATTGCACTTTAGGGTATTTATCTTCGAGAAATGAAAACACAGACACACACACACACTATACAAAAGCATTCACAGCATAGCCCAAAACTAGAGACAGCCCAAGTGCACTTGAATGAGTGGATGATTGGATGAACTGTATGGAACCTCCATGCTGTGGAATACTATTCAGCAACTAAAAGAATGAACTACTGACACGTACAACTTGTGTGAGTCTCAAGGCAATTATGCTGACTTAAAAAAGCTAATCCTAATAGTTTGCATACTGTATAATTCTATTTTTTAACGTTATTGAAATGATAATAGTACAGAGACAGAGAACAGACTAGTAGTTGCCAAAGGTAGGGATAAGGAAGGAGGACAAGGGAAGGGGGATGAGAGGAGGCATCTGTCTGCTGATGCAAACGTTCTGAAACCTTGACTGCATGACACCGTAGGATGGTTTTGTGAGACAGGAAAACTAGGTAAAGGGTACCTGTGCTCTCTCTGCCTTACTTCCTTAAACCGTATATCATCTATCATTACTTTTAATTTCAAAGTTTATTTTGTAAAACATTTAAGGCTTCATATACAGATTTGAAGGCTTCAAAAATACAGATCTTCAGTTCTTTCGAAGAAATGGGAAAATGCTGTAACATGGCACCAGGTTCCTAACGGCAACCATCAGCTGCACTTTTGCTGCAGTCTCCCTCTCTCTATTGTCTCACACCCCCAGTTATTGCTTCTTGCCTGCCTCTGAAATCCCTGCAGTTTGCCACCTTTTCTTTGACACTTTCTATTTTGCTGCTTGAGAAAAAAGGACTACAGGGGGGAAAACAGGGAAAATCAATTGTCATAGACTGGCTTTCAGATCCAATTTTCACATTCAAAGAACCCAACATCATTAATCCAAAATTTCCAGTCTGTATGAAATAAAGGGGAAAGTATCTCTTTGATGTTGTTCACCAGGGCATTATGTTGCCATTGACAAACTTGAAGTGGATAATGACAAAATTTGGATGTATTTTATCATCCTAGCCTTATGCACAATTAAGTGATTAAAGTCCACTCCTCAATTCTGAAAACCTTGCTCAACTTGAGAACGTTTTAGACTTACTCTCTCAACACTGGTTACATTTAAAGTCATTTTTCATGGGCTTAATTTTATATAGGGGAGGAATATGGAGAAAAGTTTATAGTTTAGCCTCTCCTGCTGTATCTGTAACAGCTGATGAGTTGAGGAAATCTGGAGAAAATGTGCCAAATTCTCATTAAGCCAATTTTAAAAGCACAGAATAAAAAGAACAATTAGTGCTCACAGTTTATGAAAACAGGAAAATCCAAAAAGAATTCTGAAAAGGCAGTCCTAAGACACCTGCCTACATGTGTGCATGGATCTGGCAATAAGCTCTGTCTTCCACTTGCTCCTCTCGGGGCAGAGATAAGATGCTGAGGACGAAAGGACGCAGTCGGGGTCAGGAAGAGGGCTGTGCAGTTCCAGACAGAAGCTTCTAGACACCCACCTGGTGGTCCGAGGTGCTGTTCTCATTGCCCATGGTGACTCAGGATGCTCAGGGTCCCTCAGAATTTCGTCAGAGGCCACTGGAAGAAATGAAAGGATGTAAACATCTAACATGGAAGAAGCTTTGAGGCTTTCTCTGTCCGCTCAGCTCCCCAAACTCAAAAAGCCAGATGATGGCACATGTTTATCTCCGCAGCCTCATCATGGAAAATTACTTTTGAAGGTTTTTCGTTTGCAAAATGCCACCCAGACTTCTTTCCCAACAAAGGCGGGTGTTTTCATTCCCCACCCTGGGGTTGGCAGACACTTCGAAGAGGCAAGTTTGTTCCTGAGTCTGAGTGAAGGCCAGCGTACACATGCATGTATATGTACTAACAAGTGACAAAAAGGGTCCATTTGCCAGGGAGCTTGAGAAGCACCGGTTGTTGGGGTATATTCTGTTTCTAATTGTGTTCAGTTGGAAACTCAGCGGGGCTAGTTTCTCATTGCTGGTGACAGCAGAGCTTGGCGCCAAAGATTAGGAGGTGTGAAATTCACTTCTCTTCAAGAACATATGGTTTCCATAGTTTTTACTCTAAACGCTTGTTGCAGCAAATCAGTTTCACTTCTGCATGTTTCTATGGAAGCAGAATGGTTTTCTTTCTTTTTTTCCGGTACCGGGAATCGAACTCATGACCCTGTGCTTGCCGGAGCAGGCCCTGTGCCACTGAGCTAAATCCCCAGTCCCCAGAATGGTTTTCTTACTGAGGAAGATAGGTAGTTGGGGCCAGGCAAGGAACGGATAATCCCATCAATCCTGTCAGGCTACTGAGGCAACCAGTACTGTTTCACAGGCCTCATTCAGTGATGCTTTATTAACCATTAGCATAATTAGGGCATTTTCTCATGTCACTTATGGAGATGTCTGACCATTTTACTGGCGTCATGCACCTGAGTTCATGAGACTCTAAAGCAGGCAGGACTGAGATGTAACCTTCACTGTTTCTAGATGGAGTGACTCAGTTATAGAAAAGTTGAAACATTAGGACATTTTAGAACTGGGGCCTTAGAGACTACCAGTTCCGTGAGAAAATGAGGCTAGAGAAGCTGAGGAACCTGCCAAGGATCCAGTTTTTGGAGACCAAAACCTAGAAATCTCTCTCTCTCTGTCTCTCTGTCTCTCTGTCTCTCTCTCTCCCCACCCCTCTCTCTCCCTCTCCCTCCGCCCCCCTCAGGTAATGGTGATCAAACCCACAGCCTTGTGTGTGCTAGGCAAGTGCTCTACCAGTCTGCCTCCTGCCTTTTAATTCAAGATTTATTCCACAGAAATAGAGCTTTCATCGCAGTATTTCTTCAGAAAACTTGTACTTATTTATTCAACCAACACTGACGGAGTAACTAGCATATGCTAGGTGTAGTGAATAATCACTAAAAAATAAAATGTGAGTATTGTGAGCAGTCCCAGTTAAAATGCTGCCAAATAGAGAGAACTATAAATAATATCACCTCTGTGTTCAACTCTTTCATTCATAACTCTGTAACTGAAGGGATACTATTCCTTTCTTAGCTTTTCCTATGGGTGCACACACAATCTCATCTGAAATTGATCACTTCACTCCATTTTTTCTGTTCATTTCAAAGATGACTGATTATAAGGAAATAATGTCAAGGCTGCACACGTCTGTACTCACAGCTACTTGTGTGTAATCGCAGCCAAAATAAAATAAAAAATCTTTGAAAGTCTGTAGGTATAGCTCAGTGATAGAGCACTTCCCTTCCCGAAGACCAATCACCATTATCACCCCCCCAAAAAAAGAGCGTTGAGTGTTCCCATCATTCTGTCTTTGTCAATTATTAAATTTTGATACTCATTCACCAAATAAACTCAATAATTTTAGTAACTAGTAAGGCATCTTTAGTTTTTTAATCAGACTACAAAGAACAGCAAAATAGATCCGCTGAAGTATAAATTTCATATCCACAAAGGGAAGACTTGGAAGTATCTGAAATTCTCTCCCAGGGACTCTGCAACTCCCACTGCTCAGCTTTCCCCAGGCCAGAAAGGAAGGCGCCCACAGCTCTGCCCTCTGCTTACCTTTGGGGATGGTCTGAACTTCAGAGGCTCTGGCCCAGGGAAAGTGTGCTTTCCATTAATTAGACTTTCTCCTTCGGCATCCAGAAGCATATGAGGTCTAAGCCAAGGGCCTGACCCACCTCAACCAGTTGGGCAAACAATCTGACTCCACGCTGGCACAAGCACAAACCAACTGCGCTTCATACCTGGGCCGTGGCCCGCAGAGATTATACAAGCTTTCCTGCCCACATGGAATCTGCATTTCCAGCCCATCCCTCCCAAGGCCTTTTGCACATAGGAATTTTCCCTGTTATTACATCAGCAGGGCTCCTTTTAGAAAAGGCTTATCCCTACTAAAGCAGCTCCTGCCATCTGATTGGCTGCACCTAACTCCAGGACTGTCCTGGCTCAGGAGCACAGAGGCAGGAATCACCGGCTTGCCTTTATGCAATAGTGCAGGCAACAAAACTCTCATTCTAGGAAACAGTCGAGTGCTCACAAGGCTTCTTGTATGCACCTGGGAAAATTCTACAGGACAAAGAAAACTTGTAAAAATTCAATGAAGTGACAGTCTGGCATTTGTTAGTGTGTGCAGAATGTATTCACCCGGGTGTGGCTTGCATTCCAGTGGCTGAAGTCATCAAAAGCGGCAGGCGTGTCTAGGTCACTGATAGGAGGTCTGCCTGCCCACTGAGTGGAGCAGGCCCTGTGGACTGCACAGCACTGTGAGAACACACCCAAAGAACCCTCCTGTTCAGTTGTTCCGTCACTTCCCACCTCCAGGATTTTGTGTGTGTGTGTGTGTGTGTGTGTGTGTGTGTGTGTTACAGTGCCAGAATTTTTCATTTAAATGAAATTTTCTACAGATGCCCATCCACTGCCACCAGGTAGGACTATTCAGGAAAACAAACTAGCATTTCATCAAAGGCTCTCTGGAGACCAGATAGCTTACCTAGCTTCTTGGAGGCATTTCAGAAATGCTAGATATGGAGGCGGAGCTCAGTGACCCACTTAGGGTTGGTTCATCAGAGTAGTAGTATACATGTTTCAAGGGATGAGTGGTTAAAAGCAACACAGTCTAGACACTAAATGAATTATTCACCCATAAAAAGGAATCTCCACTGCTATATGCAACAACTCCAATGAACCTCAAAAGCATTATGTAAATGAAAAAAGCCAGATCATGTATTGTGTGATTATATTTACATGAAAAACTAGAATAGGCAAATCCACAGAGACAGAAACCAGAAGGGCGGTTTCCAGAGGCTGGGAGAAGGGGAAAGTAAGCGCTTAATCAGTGCAGAGTTTGATTTTCTGGTGGTGAAAGTGTTTTAGACTTAGACAGAAGTGGAGTTTGCACAACATTCTGAGTGTACTGAATTCCACTGAATTGCTCACTTGAAAGTGGTGATTTTTATGTTATATGAATGTCCTCTTAATTTTTAAAAGCATGTTTCACATCTTGGGGTTCTGCATAAATTAGTTTGGAGAAAGAAATTTCACTCCTAGGGGAAAAATGTGAAAGTTTTCTTTTTTTAATTTTAGTTCATCAGCATGAGATTTCAGTACTGTTAAGGTTTGGAAGGACAAGAAACAAGAATGTTGGCTTCTCCACTAATAATCACAGGAGGATTTTTTAAATTTAGAAAGTCCTATTGAACAAATCATCTTGGATGGGCCCATTAGGAATGCAGAGGCAAGTTTTCAACAGGTGGACAAAACATAGTAAGAGCCCTGACAAAGAGAGAGGAAGAATTGGGGGTTTGCCTCTGAGGAGAGGGATAAGGCAGCAGGAGCCCGGCCCTCCCAAAGGCACATGGGAACTCTGAGGTGGGAATGAAAGTTGAGCATCCAATTTGCCATTGTGTACATTTCTGTGACCAAATTCCCTCCGCAAGCCACCCCCCCAGTCAACTCTGCGGTGGACACAAATGCCTTGAGTAACTGGGTTTATATGAAAGTGTGGGTGAGGTAAGAGGGTCAAGTTCCAAGGCTGGGTCTGTTCTGAGTAGAGACCTTGTGTTGGTTTACTCAGGTTGCCAAAACAGATATTCAGACTGGGTGGCTGGAACAACAGACATTTATTTCCTCACAGTTCTGCAGGCTGGAGGTCCTAGATGAAGGTGTCAGCAGGGCTGGTTTCTCCTAGGGCTCTCTCCTTAGCTCACAGACAGCTGTCTGCTTCCTGTGACTTCAGGAAGTCTTTTCTCTGTATCTGTACTAATCTCTTCTTCTTATGGGACATCAATCATATTGGGTGAGGGGCCCACCCATTAGGTCCCTACCTATAAATACAGTCACATTCTAAAGTCCTGGAGATTAGAATTTCAGTGTAGGAATTTTGGGAGGACATGAACAAAATTGGGAGTCCAACAGGAAAACAAATTTGGAGTCAGAAGAAGCTACGGAGAAAGGTAAGGTTGAAGAATTCAGAGGGGCCTTTGGGAGGCCAAAGACACCTACAGTGCTTAGGATGGGGCAGTTTAACCCAGTATGAACCAGAGCTTCAGAAGCACAGAGATAAGAAAGGTCTTGAGTATGTAGGGCCTGACTGGTCCCTTGGGCTGCTGGAATGTAAAGTGTCAAGGATTTAAGTGAGGAAGACAAACAGGGCCTGGTATGAAACAGAGATGAAAGAAGGTTTGTGGGGAAGGATAGGTTTGGCTATGTGTTCAGAGCAGTGAAAGACCCAGTGCTGAAGGGTCCAAGTGGGAGGAAGGGGACAAGGAAGACAAAACAAACAAGCCAGAGTCCCCCTATCACCCTGTTTAGGACCATCCCGCAGGCTGCTGCTCTTAACCAACAAACACTTGTACATGTGGGGTCCCCCAGATCATGACATGGGAAGAGGCTGCTCAGGGGAGCCTTCCAGTCTAAGAAGCAATAGTTCAGGTTGGTTCCTTCTACTTAAGGCTGCAAAGCCGGCCTCCCCTTGCTTTCCCTCCCATGCACTGGCTTCCACTCAGAGTTTGCTGCTTGTTACCAGGTGCTTCTATTATTACTATTCTTGTTGCTGGGTTGCTCTTCATGCGATGATCAGCATTTCCTGAGGACCTCCCATGCTTGGTTTTACACCTTATCCTTGTACCAGACACACAACATCAGACTTCTTGTCATCCTTTAGCAGGTAGGAAACAGAGGCTCCATAACGTCAGGGTGCCGCCAAAGGACAGACACAGAGGTGGGAGTAGAATTCCAGCCACTACTTTCTGATCTCTGCCCCTCTTCTTTCTTTCATTACCTGAAGGAGATGTCCCTAGGTAAATCTAGCTGCACATACAAGCTAGTTGTCTACAGGGGGGATCTACCTCTGGGATTCAACTCAAAACTTAATTTATTGACATGCTGAGGGAATATCTATCTCTCAAGAAAAATTCATATTAACTGAACTCATGGACTGCGTATACATATACTGCAACAGAGAGCTGTGAGTAGGAACCGGAGGGCTATGGTATGAACGCCAACTCCACCATTCACTCGGGGTAAAACTCTGGCAAATCACTTAACTTCTTCGTATTTAGTTTTGTAGATTCTAAGATAGGAATCATCTTAACACCTGGCGGTGGTGAGTTAATTTCAACAAATCCCTTGGAAGAGAGTAAGTGCTCCATAAACTATTGACTATTATATTATTATTGACAGTGGGTCTCTTTGGAACTTTCAATATGCAAATCCTTCAATAAAACAAAGCTTATATTGCCTTCTCTTTTCTCCCCAAAGGTAAAATCATGAATTTCAGATGCTAATAAGAACTGGGTCACATCTGCAATGAAAAGCACAGCTAACTGACTGTATACTTACAGAAACAAATATTTGATGAGAAAATTAATAGCATAGGCCCAATAAAAAGAAAGTAAATGGTTTCAGAAACTTTTGACCAAGGCATTTCTGCTAAAATATTTGCTGGGCTAATGGCATGTCATTCCTGTCTAGTCCCATGGTGTAGCTGTTGCTAGGTGACAAATGTTAATTTAGCTGGAGTTACTCCATGTCCTTGGGGGAATGAAACTGTACCTTAAAAGAGATCCAGCATTTAGGCTTTTAATTAATTTAAGGCAACTGGCCACAAATAAGGCTCAATTCCTAAGATTTCTATTTGTGTGTTCTCTGAGCAGTGCCTAAATAGCCAGGTAAAATGGAATTCTTCCTTCAGATTAACCTAAAATTAATCTTAATTTTAAGATTCAAATATAAATTTCATTTTTTCCTGTTTTAAAAGACAGTTGTTTGAAATTTTATTTTCTACTGGTGTATGGGTGTTATATCATTAAAACTTCAAAACATCCTGAATACAAAGCAGGACACTCTGGTTCATTAATTCACTTACTGCACCCCATAAATAGTTAGCTTTTTTATTTTTTGAGACAGGATTTCACTGTGTAGTTCAGGCAGGCCTTGAACTCACTATTAATCCAGGTTGGCCTTGAATTCACAGCAATCTTCCTGTCTCCGCCTCCCAAGTGCTGGGATTACAGGTGTGAGCCACCACGCCCAGCCAATAGAGCTAGTTGTATGTGCCAAGCACAGCTAGGCGTTCAGGTCCTTTTTAGTATTTATAACAAAGCTTGGCATTGGGTTTTTATTTCTTGTTTTATGAATGAACAACCAAACCCTGGGGAGGTTAAGCAGCCTGGCCAAAGTCCAGCTGAGAACAAGGGGAAAGATGGAGATCAGCATTCAGCGAACAATGTGGTGTTACTATGGGGAAGATTTTCGTAGCTTTCAAAGACAACTTCCTATTTTTATCTCTTGCTCTGTCAGCTTTACAGCAGAGCATGGAGTTTCTGGTTGTTAGTAACTAAGGCTGACTGGGAAGGTCCCAGTTTAAAGGATCCCTCTACATGATCAGGAAGGGATACAGAAGGTCCAGGTTTAGGCCAAGAGACTCAATGTCAGGGCTGTGGCAGCCTGCCAGGGCTGAGGGGAGCCAAAAGCATAATGGGACACAGGGCCTGGGAGCAAATCTGGAAGAGGAGATGACGCAGAAACACGAGGAGCATGACCGTGCAGGAGCTCCACACAGGCAGAGGGGTGGAGGGGGTTGCTCAGATCCCCAACAGTGACTCCAGGCCAGCGCAGGGCAGGAGACTGGGGAGTCAGAGACAAGCTGATATGGATGCCATTT